TCATATAGGTAGTAATTATTAAATCATATCACACTAAAATATAAAATACAGTAAAAGATAGGATATAAAGGCAATATTTTTAAATTCCTCTCAAAATTATATTGTCGTACTTTTAGTACTTCGTCGATTTTTTCTTCATAATTAATAATATTGTCATTATTGTTATTATTGTACATTCAAAATTCTAAATGTGACGATTTAAAATCCATTATACCTTTAATTAATATCAACACAACACACAACATTAAATAACAACAGTTTATGCGATATGTTGAAGTGCTCAAAGTTAATATTATTTAGTTAATAATAATGTTTAATCTAGTTTTCCATTGTTACCTATGTCATGAAATATAAATTATTCATCATCAATGCACATTGCACACTAATATAGTAATTTATGTTATATTATATATTATGTATACTCTAAGTATAATACAAATAAACTTACAATGTCAGATGTCTACTAAGTATATGAGTGTTCACTAAATTATTTATAAGTGTTAAACATATTCCACGTAACTACTGTGTAATATAAATTATAAATATTACTAAATACTAATATTCACTGCACAATGTACATTTTAATATTGTATAGCCTATATTTTATTATTACAATACCTTTGAGCTGTGCTTAATCGTATTTTGATTACTTGTATATTATTATAAACTTTGAAATATATTTGTTTAAATATTTTTACTATAATTTTTCCAACACAGAATTAATGGTAAATTTTTATTTAAAAATTATTTATATTATTATTATTTATAACGTATGTAAGAAAAAAAACTTTAACTGCCAGCTATAGACAGTATAATATTTATAACTGAACAAATTGATATTAAATTTTATCGTTTTCATCATTTTATTGACTGATTTTTAAAATTGTCAACATAACCAAACACGACGGTTCGAATAACTCGTGCACACGTCTATTACTCGAAAATCGATTCGATAAATACAGACGACGTGTTCACGTGATAAAATTCCAAAGTTACTTGGGAAAAGACGCAACCTGCGGGTGACGAGCGACAAGTTCGTGAAACGTATAGAGGAAACGGTTTTAGACACCAAGATGTAATTACATTATATTGCACGTCCTACTGAAAGTATAATCTTATTATTTTTCCGCAAACAAGGTATAGGAATATATAATGAATGACACCTCTTGCACTTTAACGCCATCGCCCGTCTTCAGAGATCTCCATAAAAAGAAAAATCTAAAAATACCATAATACAAGATGCTAATACGACGCGATTACCTATACTCGTAGTATTGGGTATGTCCGCGTCCGTCTGACTCGACGCCCGAAGCTGCAATGTGTGGTCGCGGGAAAAAACCGCACACGTGGAACGTCGTTGTTTACTGTGACGATGTTTCACGTCGGTAAAAATTCCAAACTCGCATTGAAAACCGCATCGATTCCCGGAGGCGATCCGTCCCCCCCCCGTGAGCACGTAAATACAGTGATCGCGGCAGACCCTACGGCTGCCAAAGCGCTGGACCGATCGAATGTTTCCTGATGGAGTGCAGCGCGTTAATAATAAAATACTATACAGGTATAGAGTGTTCTGTAGAACGGAGGAGAAGACGAAAAAAAAGTGGAAAAACGCAGTCGGGCTCACCGAAAGGCATTCGTCGACCTTGAAATCGGTCGGCGGCGGCAGTGGCGGTGGAGGAGGTGACCGTCAATCGGCGTACTCGGCGGCGGCGGCGGTTTACTTGCGCTGGTGAGGGTACAAGGTCTGTGCCCGTACCTACCTCTAGACCGATGTTTTAAATTGGACCCGAACATCCCAACGGACACCAGTATCCGACGGACCGTTGCCGCCGTTTGGCGAATTTCTGCGAAATCAAGTTTTGTTTTTAAGTTGTGTGTTTTATTTCGTTGTTTACAACCCTATATCATTACATCCGATCCGATAGTATTCGATTATAATAAATTTTTTGTATTTCGATTTCTTCGAATTTCTAAACCAGAGTTTTTTGTAAACCGCTGCCGTAGTTCGAAGAACGGATATTTTGTCGAATTATACTTATCGCACACCATAATATATAGGAGTTCGCGGGTTATTCAGCTTCACGCCGATTGACCGTAGACTACGAACAGTACTATAAACACAGCTGCAGAACGTCCAAACGCGGGCAACAGCATCACAAGTCGACGAGACTACGAAGTATCATTGAAGTTTAAAAGGGTACGTGTACAACGGCATGCGAAAGTTTACTTGGCTAAACCGCACGTGCAGTGTTTAAAGATTATTGCATAAAATATTATATTATTCCTTTTGCGGGTTCAGTGTACGTGTGTATGTGTATAGTGTACATATAATATGTGTGAATGCTGCACCTAACTGCAGCGCGTGCGTAGATTGATGGGCATACTATACCTGTACAGGCAACCAGTGTTATACGCCGAGCTTAAATCGAAAAACCTTAGTAGGATCGGAATCGAGAGTAACATAAAATAAAAAAAACTCCCGAGTGAATCGACAATATTTTCATCTCAGCTGTTCGTCTTTATAAACGTACACGAAAAATTCACAAAAAAAAAAAAATTAATATGAATAAGACAATAATAATGGGCCTTGACTCGTAATGCTATTAAAGAAAATAATAATAAATTATGTGTACGTGTGTGTATATATTTATGTCTATGTTTGTATGTGTGTGCGTGAGCTCAGTTACATACATTATACACGTATATATTATATTTGTCCCCAATTGGATACAAGGAGGACGACACTTTTCGTCGCCAAACGATCAATATGGCAGAAAAAAAATCCGCACAACTAGTAAAACTGAACTTGCATGATGTGTACAAGTCAATCAGCACGCGTTTCTTTGCTTGTGCGTCTTTTAAGTCTCGTTTCCCGTAAGCCCAATATTTAAATTTATTATAGGTTCACTACACGATTAAATTATCGTTATCGAATGAATTACACATTTGCACCGGCACACGTGGTATTTTTATTGCTTTGGTTACAATATATTATAAAAAGAAGATACAATTAAAAGTAAGTGTTTATATCTCTTAACATTTTATCTTTTCAAATATTTCACAAATCTTGATTCTGGGGAATATATTTAGTGATAAGTATTATTGACAGTATTTCATATAAATTCCTAGTATAGAATTTTTAATTTTTTTCTGGCTCATATAATATTTGTTCTAATTTCAAGTTATTATCAAGCAAACAATTTTAATATTTGAATGAACCGAAATGCATATGTCCTTCGGTTTTGAGTAAAAAAAATGAAATAATGCATTAATGAACAAGAAATAATTCCAATACCTAGTTGAAAACCGGCTAATGTACAAACACTACTAACTAATAATTATTTAACCACAGATACTTTCAAAAAGATAAACATTAATTTGCTTATACCTATTATATATACATAAATATTATAGACTAAATACTGAATTACGAAAAATGTTCAAATAGTATAAGTTAGGTCTATATTATAATATATACATTTATCATTTGCGAAACTGTTTACTTTCGAAACATGTTCACAACGTAACCTGCGTCAAGTTTTTTTGTTTCCGCAATACGTGATATCAATTAATGTTTGTAACGCAATATCTAAATTTCGATACAATTTTTATTGGCTCAGTATCAATGGTTTACAATAACCGTTCTTCGAACGCGGAACTCACGAATGCGTCCCAACCCAAGGTCATCGGAGAAGACCGAACTGAAAGATCTAAGCTTAGATCTTAACAAACGATGAGTATTTTAATTAAAATTATACGAACACATTACTTCCTTTAATTTCGGTTGTCCCCACTCCACCCCCTGGAGATTTTTACACAGTATTCGGGAAAACAATAGATGCCATTCGTTGATTTGCTCGCAAAAAAAGTAAAAGTGAAAACTGAATAACCTCAAAACGACATGTACACACGAGCAGAAGACACACACGACTGATTCCGATGAACTTGGGTTTTGAGTTTATAATAGTAGTCGCCAGCGAACAAACGGTTCTTTATTGCAATCTAACTGTGTCATCTTGAAATTGTTTTTCCATTTTATTTATTCTTTGTATCTCTGATTGAAAAATAATAATAATTATCATAAAATAAATATCAAAACCATAAAAATGATCGAATTTGTATCGGGCGACCGCATATATCGTTCAACCGCCACCGCAACGTCCGAGGAGGTCATCCGATGTAAACATACCTATACACCCCACAAAGATGAAACGCACTGGACCGGCACTGAGAGTCAAAGACAGATAGTAATTATATAAAAAGTGATTTAAGCAGTTTAAAAATAAAAAATGTATGAAAAAAGTTTTAAAAAAATTGGAAAACATACAAATTGCCAAGTCATTAATTTATTCGTTTAACAATAAAGTTTTAACAATATCTATGTGCATGAGTGCATGTTAAATAATAGTAAAATTAGGCCACATGATGGAACGAACATCATTGGAGAACTTTGATTGATTTTTTTTTTTTAAAGCCGACGGACGTCTTTTGTTATTACTTATTACATATTGTCCAAACCACAATGACCATCGCTACGAGAAAAGTCGCAACCATTTTCCATCAGTTTCATTGTATTAATTCATCCATAAAACTGTATAAATCGACTTTCAAATTTGCGAAGAAAAACGTGTTCAGATAAAACACGCTATATCACATAATATTATATCAGTAATAATATAATATATATAGTGACCATGAATTTTTCGCATTCGCGCAATACACCCTTGACTTATTAGAACTTGTTTGTTGCGCCGCGTTGTTATAAATCTTAAACCTTGTTTGTAACAGCGACAGCTCGACATAAAAATATGTAAGCATTCCACCCCGTGGTCCTCCCATCTGCAAACGCACGCACGCAAACACTATGGATCGGTTGATTCATACGTGGACTACGCATTTTTTCCTAAATTTTTTCATACCATGTTTGTTTTCTTACCGTCAATTATATCATCGTTGTTTTTTACCATACCATTCCAGGAATATCATATCAATCTATCGACATGCATTCCTACATCAAAAAATTGGGTTTCCTGTATAAGACGTACGTGCTCACGATCCTCACATTGGGTTACTTGACATCAGAAATGGGACATTTCTTGATCGGAGTAACCAGCAAGGCGACGGCTCGAGACGTGCATTACGGCGACATCAAGTGTCAGCTTCTGGAACACCTGGCCGATTCGAACGTGTTCAACTACACGTTACATGAACGTTGCGATACGTCACCCGACCAGAGATCGTAAGTGTAATCATTATTGTTGTATGAAGAGGATTTTGGTAAAGGGCACCGTGACAAAACGTAGAACATAATAATATTATGTGTGTTCGTACAAAATTATTTTATATTAAGCGAAATTTATTCTATGAATAAAACGGTTTATGGTCATCTTCATACGCGCATTAATACAGTATAGTAATATATTATATTATTATATCATTATTTTATATTATATGACCGACCTCTGAAAACTGGCTTTTTACGTTATTGGTCGTGGCCACTCAGCGACGCGATGAGAAATAAAATACATTGCACGCGGACCGCGGACGTCTCAATAACGAACGCATTCGACCATTTCTTTTGGCCGTCTCCGCTGACTGTGTTTTATTCATTTGTTGTTCGATCGTTTTTTTTTTTTTCTATTACCCATATTATCATCGCAATATTATTACATTAACATAGGAGCACACGTGCGCGCTCTCCTACACGACTGGACCTCGTTCCAAGTTTGATGACAACAAATGACAATTATATAATAATACTCTTTCAGTAAACGATAAAATAATATTATATCCATAAATCGATTACGCTGTGTATAATATACCGACCGAAGTGTAATTAGTCCGGGTCAAGTTTATTCGATTATAATGACACGAACAATAATTTTGAGCTATTATCTCTACGAATTCGTATTGTAGCAACCTTGTGTGTAATGTGAACACTATATGATATTCAAACGGATATGACGGCCGTTTTTTTCTCGTCTGATGGTTTCAAAATGGTTTGTTGCGCATCTAAATTTCTAGATAGTATACGACACACACGCCGGACGTTTATGGGCATGCGGTAAACCGTCCGAAACATAAGTATATCGCATATCCTTCTATCGAGCCCCACTGGACCGCAGTTGTTTTGTCATGTTATAATTGTTTACGTTTTACTGATATAAAATATTTCTGACAGGTGCGAGTTGTTAGTCCTAGAAGACGGATCACCGTTCTGCGAATGGAACTACAACGGACTCGGTTTCCAATATCAACTGTTGGCGGGACCGGCGTTCATCGCCGTCTACTCCATCGTAGGCGTATTTTTCGGCATGGCCGCAGACAAATTCAACAGGTAAATAAAATTGCAATCAAAATTTAAATGAAAAAATAAAGCGGGCGAGTTAGCCTGCTGTACATTAGATATCTAGAAAAGTAACTGTAATAGATGTGTTAAATTTTAATTCAGTGATATAAAATCAATGCATAATAATATGTAAAACGATTCTGAGCGAAGACGATTTGTCAGCCTATAATATTACTAATTATATTTTATAATATTATTGTTATTAAATTTATTTATTTATCTATTAGGAATTAGTACTACAGTAGGTTAAAATTATTTTTTTTCCGAAAAAACTGCATTTGATAATGTCATTGTTGGTTTAAAATATAATAATAAAATTGAAAAGTTTCAAGTACCCAGGAATAATAATTTTAAATTACAATCAAACAAATGAAATCGTTATTCTTCGTTTCAATATTATCTAATTTCGTCCAAATTTAGCTTAAAATTTCTATAAAAAAAGCCATCTTTGTATATTTCTTAGATTAAATTTGAACTTTTAATTAAAATCAAAAAACATCGTGCCTATATTTTTCATATTTTTAAACTGCTATTGTAACAGTATGTGAGGACCTTGTATTAAATTTTCTAGCTCTTTGATCCAACGAATACAATTTTACTTACATATTTTAAAGAAATTTCAAATTTCAAATTTCTGTAAATAGCTCAAAACGACTCTAAATATTTTGACATTTTTATCGAGTACCTACCTATATAAAAAGATAAAGCCATAAAGTTTGGTGTAAACTTCAAGTATCTTTGGTTATTCGTTTTTGAATTATAACAAAATAAGAAAAACGCTCCATGATATTATATCAAGTGAATACTGAATACCCAATGTCGTAAAAATTTTAATTTTTGAACGCTCATAAAAATGTAATTCGACTTTCCGGTAAACAAACTTAATCATTAATACATACATTTTCAAGGTTTTTGACTGAGCATACATTTTTTTATCGACATTTACAAAAAAAAAACTAATAAAAATCGAAAATTTCATATACCTAATACGTTTATTATAAATATTTGAAAATCCTATGGGGTATACTGTACCTATATAAAATTCTAACATAAACATTGAACGAAAATTTAATATATCTACAGTATTTTTTTTAGGTTTACACCAAAAAGTAAAAATTAGCGTTATTACTTAATTTTTTGTGTTTCCTGGTGCTTTTACGCAGACACATAAAAAAACACATTGTAAAATCAACCGCTCGTGTATGCGTACATGCAATACCTGTCTCGATATACATATTCGCAACAAATAAGGCAGTCTTATAGAAAACCCAGAAAAAAACAATCATAATAAATTAAATGTAATAGCCACGTCTTAGTTGAATACATATAAATAAGGAGCTGTAATAATTTAATAAAACGAAGATAATATAAGAATTGTAATTCAAATTTTATAATATTCAGCTTCTTATGAAAATTTGTAAAAGTTTAATTAAGTACTGCATTATTTGTTGCGACATTATCGCATGTCGAATGTCTATTATATGGTTCGCGTGAACCAGCATAATATTGTGATTACCTATTACAACTTTTATCATATTATGTATTTGAATTGTTTAGAGTCCGACTCCTGTCTCTATGCACATTGGTCAGTGCCGCGGCTATCGGTCTCATTGGAATGGCTACCAGCTACTGGCATCTGATACTTCTCAGAATCATGCTTGCTGTTGGGTGGGTAACAATATTTTTAAAACAATAAAACGACGGTAACAACAAAAAACGCGACCTCGGTGATTAATAATTGTACTTTCGTTATTTGTTACAGCGAGGCCGGTACCAATCCCTTGTCCACGGGAATACTGTCCGATTTGTTTTCTGAGGTAAGCACGCACGGAATCACGACTTTGTTCGTTTAAAATACAATGAAAATCAAATCTCTTATCGATTGTTTCTATTGCGAATTTGTTTTATTTTTTTATTTTTAAATATTATACACTACAGATTGTAGAAAAATATTATTTATTATTACTTTCGTAACAATCCAGGTAAATTGTTTTTAACTCTAAAGACAGTATTAAGAAAATAAATTATGTAATAAGTATTTAACTTATTTTTCATAGTTTAACGTTTTAAGTGCATATTTAATAACTATTTAATTTTATTTTAGGAAAAGCGAGGTTTAGTCATGGCGATCTTCAATTGGGGAATTTACGCTGGTATTGGTTTGGCTTTTCCAGTCGGCCGGTACGTTACTGAAATGAACGTTGGTGGTTTGGTGAGTAAAATTATTTAAATTGAATACTATAATACTTATACCTACTCCAGTGAATTTTTATAAAAGTGTTACGTCACTATTATTTTAAGCATCTTAATTTTAAGCTAAAATTTCACTTAACTTTTATTTTAATTTTCGTTTGTCGTTTTGTTTGTGTTCGCTCTTTAGAAGACGTGTCTGCTACAATATTAATGATTCCCTCACTAATTTTCAGTTTTCACTTTATATTTTAAATTGTCATAAATTTCAACCTGCCCAAACTAATCGTTATAATAATTTTTCCATACATATTAATTAGGGATGGAGAGTGCCATACTATGTCAGTGGAATGATTGGACTGATCGTAGCAGCTTTAGCTATCACCACAATGACTGAACCTAAGAGAACAGCAATTAGCGAAGAAGCCGATAATGATAACAACGAAGTGTCGAAACCTCGTACCGTGGTGCAGACCCCTACTACACCGACTGAAAGTTCCGAGAAGACCTCCATTTGGAAAGTGCTTTTCCAACCAAAAATTTTGATTTTGTGCATTGCCGCTTCCATTAGACACACTGGTATGGACTGGTAGAAATAAATATCTAAAACACAAAACGAAAAATATGTATGAAAATATTTTTTAATGTTTTGTGATTGTTTTCTTATTTACAGGAGGATTCTGTTTCGCCTACAACGCCGATCTGTTTTACCGCGACATCTTTCCTGGTTACGATTTGGGATGGTCTTTGTTCGTGGTTACATTCTTGGTCGGTAGCGTCGGTGTGGTAATCGGTGGAGTTACTTCTGACAGTATCGTGAAGAAATATGGAATAAGATCTAGAGTAGCTGTGCTAGCCATAAGTCAGGTATGTGAACATGGAAATACCATGGTAACATTGGTAAAACTGGTTAACTACATTCCTACAAATTACAATAATAGAGTTGGTAATTTGCATTAATCATCAAAATATTTCACATGAAATGTAGTAGGTGCTTAGTTCCCTGACAGTAATGTTATATTGGTATACCACATGTTGTAAACACTGTTATTAATTTCAAACAAGTGTTAGGTATGATATTTAAGAATACATATTGTGGTCCATGTATTAGTATTACTATATGTTTATTTGTATTCCAATAACCAATTATTACGAAATTCATCTAGTTATACTTGTAGTTTTAATCATAAATTATAAATATCAATCGGACACAAACATTACAAATATATTAATCCCACTGGAATATTACTATTTTTAATAAGATTATATCAATTTAATACTTGGCAGCCACAATAATGGCTCATAAGTTGTACAGCCTTGAAATTCAGTATTGAAATAAATCAAAACGTTTTTGAAATATAAATAACTAAATAAGTATTCAGTTAATATAATATATCTTCACAATATTGTTAAAAACGCTGATTTTAATGTTGTGCAATAATGTAGTACAAAGAACATCATTTTTAATCAAACTATAATAATTAAGAAATTAAAAAATTGTTTTAAAATTATTTGTGCTCAATTATAAATTAATTGAATAAATATATTTTAAATAAAATCATTTTCATTAATGTTTTGTATATCGTAGATTATGAGGTGAATAATGATAAAACATATTATGTAAATACTAAATTATTATAATATTTTATCGAAAATTTAACATCATAAGGAACTTTGTCAATAAATGTAAATAAATATCAAGGAGGGTCTTGAGTAATGAGTTATATTCATAACACTAAAAAAAAATAATAATTACTGTCCATATACTGTCTATTTACCTATTAAAAAAAGGTTAAAATATTTTTAAATATTTTCAAATATTCTTGTATATTATTGTACATGTGTTCATTTAAAAATAATTGAAAACTGATATAGACTGATATATTAAAAAATTTTAATTTTAAACGCACATAAAAAAAAATCATTAATGTAAAAAGTATGTCATTTAGTATAATACTAGGTTAAAAAGTATATAAAGCCTATACTGTCTAGTATTAATTTCATATAAGAAACTTTATAAAAACCTGAAAGAAAGGTAAAGAACAAGACATTTAACAGTATATAATAGCCAATAGGTACGTTATGCAGTATAGAGTTGTGTTTACTGGCTCTCCATTTAGAGTCATCTAATTGGAAAGTTTAATCTAATAATATTTTATTCAGAGCAAATAGCAATACATTTATCATCATACTAATAAGGCAAACTAATAATATTGTTTAATAGGTGAAACTGAACACAAATATCAAATTGATATCAAAATAACATTCAATTTTATAAGAATAAAAAACAAACTATTGAATTAAACTAAAAAAATAAATAACTTATAATAATTAATATATTATATTACAACTTGTAAGTACACTACAAAATAATTGATTTGACAGTGAATAGGATTTTGGTTATAAATATTAATTTTAACAAACAATATTACATTAACTGTTTAATATTGTAGACAATTGACATTTTTATTCGATAAAATAATTTATTGATTGTAAACGTCATGATAATATCATATAATAGTATCAATTACTCCAATGAAAATTGTACATTTGTAAAATCACATTCGTCACAGTTATTTTATAAATCATTATATTTTAAATTGTTCGGAAATAATTTAACCATTTCTTAACGAAACTTTAGAAATAGTTTCTGAATATTTAAACTTATTTTAATTTTTCTGTTACAGTTGATCGCTACACCTTTTGCGTACGGAAGCATTTACTTAGGACCAACCGGAGCCATGGTAACACTTGCCATATCTTACTTATTCGGTAAGTCATCTAACACCTAATACCAAAAGTTCATATTTTAATTTATTGTCTGACGTTATAACTTAAAATGTATAGTAAAATAATATGTATAATTATTTATTTATTATTTACTATAGCCGAAATGTGGTTCGGTATCTTGTTTGCCATACTTGTTGAGTCTGTGCCGATGTCAGTTCGGTCGACTACTGTTGGTGCATTCCTGTTTTGGATGAACAACTTCGGTGGAAATGTTCCTATGTTTGTAGAACCCGTCAGAAAAGCATACGACTACAAAACAGCATTGGCTATTTTCTACGCCGGTTTCTACTTATTGAGTGAGTTCTAAGCTAATGGCAAACATACATTCATGCGTGTTTGGAAGACACTGCCCCTTAAAAAAAGACATTCTCAGAACAATTTAAATTTATTAAACAATAGCTGATACCTATTAACTATTATACATAATTGGTTAATTAATTAAATTACACGTACAATGCTTTTGTTGATTACTAATAGTAATGTACTTGAAAACTTTTGTTCCAATATCTAATATTAACTTGAATATTATTTATGAATTTATTCACATTAATTTATTGATAATTCAAACTGGTAACGGAAGGACAAAAAATGTAACAAAGTACAAAAAAGAAATTACTATACTTATTTGTTTATTTGTTATGATTATACGATTGTGCCATTTTGGTATAATTACAGTTCATACAAATTTACATATTTTATATTATACATTCCACACATATTTTAATAATTTTATTATTAGCTATATTCAAGATACCTTATGTATTATGATTTATTGCCAAATCGAAAGTTAAAAATAATACTAGTCTATGAATGTTAAGTTTGTCTGATATTTATTTAAAAGCTTTCTTTCAACTCAGTATGCAATTTTAATTACTATGATATTTTAGGTTCATTGATGTTTGGTATGACTGTGTTATTCATGGGAAAGAAAAAATCGAAGAACACCAATGTTCACACATTGGCTGGTATCGAAAATGGAGGCTTCAAGAACTCTGAATCGGATAATGGCCTTAAAGGTTTTCCAAGCCTAGAAAACCATCTATAAAAAGGTATATTGGATTGTTTTTATAATGATTAAATTTAGATTAATTAAAAATATTATGTACCAAACCAGGAGTCAACAACGACAACAATTTATTATTTTAAATTCATGTGCTAAAAATAGCATAGAAATTTAAAAAAAACATCCCTATTATTAGTAATCTAGACTCTAACTAGAATATTTATTGAGTAATTCTTTATTTCTCAAAATACATATTGTATTATTGTTAGATCAAAAAGTTGTGTGTGTCACGGGTTGCCGTCACAGAGCTTTGTCATATAAAAAAGTAGCATTGTAATATATAAGTATTTAAACCTTTTTAATAATACTTTTCCAATAAGGAGCTTTCTTTTTGAACTTAACCTGACATACGAATAATATGTTAAAATAAAATACAACGTAAATAATAATTCGATAGACTTAAGTTTATCTAACACCTGCATCAATATTATATAACCGGAATACCTACCTAATAAAAACATAACAGGATTTTAAATTGTAATTCATTAAGTACAATTTATTTTTATTAGATAACTTTGCCTATCGGCTATCCATTACTAAATTATATTTAATTAACTTCCTTTGTTAAATTAATTAAATAATTATAATAAGACTCGTCTATATATTATTTACTTAAGCATACGTTTGTCTAATCGAATAAAAATCCGTATTAATTAAGCTACTTAACCGTTTTAATTATAATATATCTGCAGGACAAGTACGTCATTTTAATTTTATATTATTCGATAAACATTAAACATCCGTTGACAAATTATTAGCTATTATTATTTAAAAATGTATGATATAGGCTTTACCCAAATATATATAATAATATAAATATAAGACACAAACATAGCCTAACCTACGAAAGGTCCATTTCGTTTTGACATCTTTCTCATGCGTGTAACACATACGCTTTACGCCAAAAAAAATTAAATTACGAATAAAACTCGTTCGTATATAGTGCGGTATAGACTAACGACTCGAAGGACAAGGGCATTAAAAATGGCAGCTTGTGGCCCTCGGTTTCCGCGTGGAGGGGTGGGGGGGACGAAAAAAACAGACTACTGATACTGACTTTCAAGCTACTGTGCAACACATCTCGTGATCGGCAGGGATCCGGACGCGTATTTTTAGCACTAAGAAAACAATAGTCCGTCGCTGACAGGACATACATCATTGTCACCAAGCGCAAGCAGCAGCAAGTGCACCAAAAATAGACGAACATGTGATCGAAGGTCACCTAATCGATTATCTCGGGATATCCGCCCAATACCGATGTACCTTATATGCCCTTGTCATTGGACATCGATCCTTTTTTCGTTTGTTTTGTGTATTTTTTTGAAGTTGCGAAACCGGAAACTCACCGTTTCCACCCCTGTCACGCTCACCCCACGCAAGGCCGAGACGAGACGTCGCGAACTTGATCTTACGGTAGACGGATAATAGCTATATTATAGTAAGGTGACGGGCAGGTAATAAATTACTATACAAAAAGGATATTGAATATATATAATAAAGTCTAGTCTCAATTACTACTTACTATAGAACATCCATAGATCGAAAACCCTCGTAACTCGAAGTCTTTTCTTGTCCCCTGAAGGCTGAAGTGTTTATAAGTTATATTTTAAATATTATTATCTCAAAAAACACATTATTTGATTATTTTTTTTTTTATTCCCATTGAGTTTCAAACTATAGAATGTATAATATAATATTGTTAAGCTATAGGTCCGAATGACAGATTAGTCTGAATGATAATGCATATAATATACCGGCATAAATTTATTATATTTCAAACATATAATATCAATGATGTGTATTGTGTATGCAGGTACTTACCTCCTCTTTTGCTCTCCAACCGAAAACTCGAGCACAATATTGCAGACACATGTCGTTCGGAAAATAATATATCGTACATCCGTACTTAAATGTCGTGCTCATTAATAACACGGACGACTCTAACACAATGATTGACAATGTCTGTCGGGCTCGACGGACAGACGATCCAGGGCCGGATTTACGCCTAGGCTGGCAAATTTTTGGGGGCGGCAAATGTTGTAAGAAATTGAAAAAAAATGTATTATTGTTTATTAGCATTTAAAATTACTACTGACCTGATTTGTTTATAATGAAATAAATTTATTAGTAATAAATGCTACATTTTTTGTTCACCTGTTCTATAAATCCGACATTGAGACGATCATTTGAGTCTGTCACCGTAGTGCAGGTCCATGTCCTCTAGAAAAACCGATAAAATATCTCAACAGCCACTGCCAAATTTCAGAGTGAAATTTCGGTGGTACTTGGGGGAAGGGGTCACTATGAACCGTCAAAAACGATATTATTATTATTTTTAACGTTTGGTGTTACGCAATCAATAATCATATATTATATTATTATAGTATGCCATTTACTACTGTCCATTACAATTTATTTTTACAATGTTTCAGAAGAACGCAATCGGTAAAGTTGCAGCTGCGGAGGCCACCTTGAAAACACTCGACGGACACCCACTCGGGGTCATCGTCACAAAAGTGGCAGCAGCGGACGAGAAAGACGGAAACGAATATTGTCCGTCGACGATAAGTTATAAATTATAATATATATAGATATATTATGAGAATTCCAAGTATATAGGAGATGTGATAATTAACGTTTAAGATGATTTTATTCTTATTATTATTCTGTTGTAAATATTTTGTTGTACATTTTTTGATTGACGGCCGTCGACGTCGTCGTCTCCTCGGACGTGGCTACGGCTATGAGGATAATTCGCGTGTGCACAATACGCTCTTTAAGATCTTGGCCACCCCTCGTGACTCGTTCATTTTATACATAAAACCCACTATTTGTTGTTCAGTGGTAAACATAGAGAGTCGGTATCGTTATTAATATAATATATACATAAATATAATATAATATATGGCGCAACCGTTCTGCATGGTTACCTCTATATTTATTTAAATTATACCATTTTTATTTATATACTTATAAATCGCGTAAACGATAAAAATATCGTTTATTGAAATTATAATGTATTATATTATATATTTTTATTATAATTATTTTTATTTGTTTTTTTTGTAACACATAATGTATTGATTTTCTATTCTATATAATATGCACACACATGGTCATATAAATATACACTCGTATAGGCTTATTATACACATCGCGAAACCCGTATAGTTAGTATATAAATTATGAGTTGGTGTAAGACTTAGCGCGGGCCGCGGAGTAGCATTTTTATTTTATTTTATTTTATTTTATTTATACTATTGTTATATTTATAAACGTAAATGCTGTTCACTCCGGTCACGCGTATTCTATAATTTCGGCCAATTTTTTTTTACTGTATTTTTGTCGACAAAAAATAAAAATTGTCTTATTTTTTTATACAATAATGTTCCTTTATGTTATGTTGTTGGACCAGTTAGTGTGTATCTGCGTAAATGTACGAGTGTGTGTCTGTGTGTATGTCATGTTTTTATTTGCATAAGTGTGTATAATATATTATTTGAATACAAAATATATAATATGACTGCATAGAAAAAAATGGTTTTATTTTTTTTCATCTCGCTAATAGGTATTTTTACTCTGGTTAGTTCTTACATATAACATATACATATATGTATGACATAAAGATCGCAATCGCGAAATTCCTTTTGCCACAATGAAGACCCAAAGAAAATATTGCTCGATAAAAAGTTTATATTTGTTATGGCATTTTCCATGTTCACAATAAATAGTATATAGTATATAAATGTCTAATATTATATTATAGTATCTAAATAATAAATACATAATATATATTATAATATACTCGTATATATACGAATGCTGTTGAGTTTTTACAGTAGGAAAAGTTGTCAGAATGATATAAATGATGCAATGTGTTTTATTTGTCTTGTCTTTAGCATATATTATTATATATAATATATTACTATATAATATTGCTTGGAATTTATTACGAAATTACATGTACTTATATCTATTGTCTTTTTGTCATTAAATCGGCCATGGAGATTTAATCGAATACGTACCTACAGAGAAACAAAGGTAAAACTGCAATTTTATATTAAAAAGTGTCATAATCAAAAAGGATTAATTAATTAATTACTTATTCGATGGACATAATAATAATATTATAGATATTATCTATACTGCAGTTTATAGTTTTATCCTCATAAATAACATAATAATAAATTTATAAATATATAATTAAAACCTTATGAAATCGGTGGACTCCAAACAATAAAACAAAATTACATAATATGATATTGAAAATAATATTATATGATAATATAATACCTAAATACCTAATATAATATGTAAATTGTAAGACATGGTTTTAACAACAAATTATTTATTTATAGTATGGAAATAAAAACAAAAAAGTGATTTTTATGTGAGAATTTACTGCAGGAAAATATTTTACATTTAATTAATAAAATGGTCTAGACTATAATATGTGTATTGTGTAATCTATTTTAACTGGAATTTATTGTATGTATAAAGAAGCTATGTACGAAAGCTATGTACGATTATTCTTAGTCTACAACAGCGTTTTAATACTGCAGTGATTGCAAGAAAAATTAAGGCATATATATTATTTTGTAATAATTAATAGTTATATAATATGAAATAAATAAATTCCTGATAATAATGACCTACACATTAATTAATATTACAATAAAATAATGTTCAAACATTTTATTAGTCAAGTACATAAATGTAGGTACATTTTGTATCTATATACTTACCTATTATAATTATTCAAATTATAAAAATAAACAACATTTTAAAAAAAGGTGGGTAAGTGGATGTCGCTCTACTGTACAGTAAGTTACATGTGTGTTAAATTTGAATTCAATGATATAATATCACTGTATAAGAAAAACGATTCTGAGCGAAAACGGTCAGTCAGCCTATGATATTACGAACTATATTTGATGATATTAAAGTGAATAAATTAATTTATATATTTAATATTTAATTTA